TGAATTGCTTCCGTTTCTTTCCTACAGCATGCAAGATAAGAGATATACTTATTAAATTCTTCATATATTCCTCATACTCATATTTTCTCAACTCTCGCCATTGCTTACATCGAATGTGGTTAAATAAAACTCCGGCTCTCGGCTCCGGCTCATTCATGTTGTTGAAGACCAAAATATATATGGGCTGACGTGTATGGCAAAATCTATCAAGGCTTATATTCATATTTTATATACGATATATATGAGTATATATACAGTCATATTTTCTCAACCCTCGCTATTGCTTACATCGAAGGTGGTTAAATAAAACTCTGGCTCTAGGCTCCGGCTCATTCATGTTGTTGAAGACCAAAATATATATGGGCTGACGTGTATGGCAAAATCTATCAAGGCTAGAGAGATGTATATCAGCAACTGAAAAGCAAAGGCATAAAAAAGGAAAAAAATGAAGGGATTTTAGGTGTTAAACGGACCATATAGCTATGACAATGACGATATTTTAGGCTTTGGTGTTCTTAGCCATCACTCGATCCCAACCTAATCTATATTAGGTGAAGTAATCCATATTTTAATTTACTTGCGGAAGGTATTAAGGTTTAGTTGGTAGTTAAGGTATTTGTCCTCGTTGCTACATTCAGATAAATATGTACGTTATGTTTTAATACAACGAAATAATACATTAAAACTTATGACTTATACAAAGTTTATGGTTATGAGACGAAATAATATTTTACTAATGCTCTCAATCTAATGCACAATTAGTACCAATCCAAATCTTTGTTAAAAAAACTGATACCTTCAACGCACAGAGATTTATATACTTAAGTTTCTCGGCACGATAAAACCCAATAGATTATTGTTCATATGACTGCTTTTGCAATTATTTACATGGCTTCTAAATAGTTTAAGTTTCACAAATATCTTTTTAGCTTACAGATTTACAAGTACATTCGTATTTAAAATAGACAGAAGCAAAGGAGTTCCAGTTTAGTTAATGGACAAAGGGATATATATAAAAAGTCCTATATTTTTATATTGAATTCATCACAATATCTTAGAAAGAAACATAAGCATTATCAGCAACTAGCAGAGCCTGATATTGATGAGGAGGAAATCTATATTCTCATGTATAGTATTTATCGTTTAAGTTAGTACAAGAATGTTGACTGATTGCTCTACATATAGAAGAAAGTGAGTACACAGAATCGCTTTAAGGACTTAGTGTTCCAAAATATTAAATCCATCTTTATTAGTTCTTATTTCTACAAGATATGGATAAGGATTATTATTATTATCACGGATGTGTCAATATGAATATCGATCACAGTTTATAGTTTGTTCTTCCAGAGCTTATAAGGAGCCATAACAATGTCATTTAAGTGGTGATGAGTATAGGTACTTCATTACTTTTTGTAGCAGGAATTGGTAGAGTTATTATAAGCATCAGGTGAAGAGCAATATAACCAGTATACGATAAATTTAGTACTTCACTGATGCTTGATAAAAAAAGTGTGAGTAGTTGTTAGGATGTATATTTGTCTAATTCCTAAGTCATACGTCTGGGCATTTATTTTTTCAATTTGTTACACAACATATTCAATATGTAAATCGGCCGAGTGTTTCTGTTCATGTCATTAATCTGTTTTGCTGTTTTGCTTATATCTTTCCTTTTTTTCTGATAAGTTCGGCACACATTATTGTTTGAAACTATAAATTCATATTTGGAAAGAAGATGATACAGATGATATTTATACAGAAGTTATCCCATTTAATCCATTTGTCAAAGTATGTGCGCCGATTCACAAAATATACTAGTGCAAAATTTTATTTAATTCGCTCAAGAACTAATGATTTAGTCTATACTCGTATATTAGTCGACGATCTAATACAGAGTAGGACGGACAGACAGGGCGACAGACAGACAGAAAGCGATGATTTTGTGAATTTTTTAATTTTGAATCTTCTGATTGTTAAGAGTATCTTTATAAACAGTGTAATGTTACCCGATATTATATTATGAGAGTGCATTTATTTATAATATTGTGTTACTTTCATTCTTAAGGGACTCAACGCTTGAAGATTAAAGTACTTTTTCTATAATCTAATATATAATATATGAGAAAGAAATTAGTCTGCGCAATTATGTTTCAATTGTTTGTAATTTTACATTAATGGATGTCAATGACAAACCAAAAAGTTACAAAGTTGAAAGATTTCTCTTCGGTTGTAACAAAATTAAAAGCTCATTATGCTTGAGGTACAATTTGTATCTGCGGAAAAGTGGGGCAAGCAATGTTGCTCATTCTGCAAGTGCTGTATTTCCCCTCTGCTAAGCAAATCGCACAGCCAACAACACTAATTTTGTTTAGATTAGATTAGACAGCAGAGCAGCAAAACTGTGTATAGTAGAATAAAGCTAAAGCCAAAGACAAAGACTGATCGCTGGTATGTTAGTTCAGCAAATTGACAAAGTGACGTCAACTATTAACAGTCACCACTAATGCAGATTAAGTGCACAAAACATATGAATGGTGCGTTTCATTCACTCACAATTCAGCTTCGTGTCTCTATTTCTCTCTCCAACTCTGTGGTGATCATATCAAAGATGGGCAAACGCACACATAATCACATTTGCATAATTGTATTTGCTCATTAGTTAATACACTGTGAACTATAAAGGGAACCGGGGAAACACTTTTGAACTCTTCACAATGATCTTATATATCCAATTATTAAATCCAAACAAAGATTATTAATATAGTTGCATGATTAATCCAATATATTATTTAATTAATTGTAATTTTCATTCTTTGTTTTTTGAGATAAGATATGACATCTCCAATAATAAAAGACAGAGTTTTTAGTCAAAAACCTAAAGCCTAAAGAGGCATAATTTCTTGTTTTTAATTAAAAATGTTTTTTCTCCTTTGTATCATGTAATCGGAGAACATGCCTCTCATTATACATTTATTTGACTAAAATTTCTGATTGCAGCTGCTGTATGAGATGATGTTGAAGGTGAATGCTTATTTAAGATGCCGTAAAAAACTTGATGAGTATGTAATGTTTCATAGGCTTCACGACCTCCCACTGGCGTCTCCATCCTCAATACCGTCCCTGAAGACTTCATTCCAGCCTTGCGCTACAAATCCCCCCAATACGTGCTGCACTACTTCGATGAGTGCGACCGTAATCTCCACACCATTCTGCTTTATAATCGCGGTATGCGCTTTAACCCCACCCCCTTCACCATCAACCTATCTCCCTAATTTATGCCTCTGCTTTCTGGCTTACATGAATCTAGCTCGTTAGGTATTAAGCCTATATGTTCACATCGCTCTCCCTTGATTACTGGAATGAAGTTTCCTCAATGCTGTGGAAATCTTCTCCATCCATTTCTAAGAGGTAGTTATAGTGGGTTTAAGTCTCACACTGTGGCTTTCGATGCTTTCTACCTACAGCAAAAACAAAAAAAAAATCCTAATCACAAGTGTATTTTATTTACATTTGCTTTCGAATAAATCATAGACATAAATCGGTCTACATTATTATTATTTATTGATTCAAAAAAATTCATACAGCACTTACAAAAAATTATAGAATTTTACTTAAAATCTAAATTGACAATAACATACAATATTTATTGTGTGTCAGATTGGCATACAAAAGGAGGTGCATAATATTAACATTATTATTTATATAAATTCAACAATAATTAATCTTCTATAACTTAAAACACTTTTCATAAATTTATTCAGTTTATAAATATTGCTACCCAGTGGCGTCGATAGGCGTCAGCGATTTAAATTGATTAGCAATAAAACTTTCAATTACGCTTTGTCGTATTAGTGAATGTAACTTATTTACTTTTACAACTGGGTTATAAAGGGGGCCTCGCAATTCTAATGTCGCCGACGTCCAGAGTTGGTCTAGCTCCGCCACTGTTGCTACCGTTTAATAAGACTTTCACTTCTTCTTCTGACAGAAGTGCTTTATAATATGACATATATTTTCTATTTCATGACGATTACACAAAGAACAATCACGTTCAGATGTATTAAATTCTCTACCGTTTAGATTAAATAGACCGCCTCTACATTTAAAAAATAGGCTCGATATGTGCGGAGGGTTTTCGAAATAAAATTTATGCATAATGTCATATTGTAGCTGTGGGTATATGTCATAAGATCACGACCGACATTCGCAACAAAGGAGTCGTAAATCGGTCTATGTGTCTCTCTAAAGATTCACCAACTTATTAGTAAAATGTAATAATATCTAATTTAACAACAACAATAAGTTTTGAATTTAAGAAGGTTATTTATAAATGATTTGTTTTCTTTTCTGTGCATAGAACCTAATCTAGGAACGTAATACGGAGACAGTCATGCATTTCTTTCAAAATATTAAGATATACATATATGCTGACAACATACGAGTATATTCACCATACATTCATATCAAAAGAGATTTTTGCAGAATTTTTGCAGTGTACAGAATGTGCTCAGCTGATGATTGTACCATTCAATGATGAAATGATGAAAAGATGGAAAACATGGGAAACATGAGCCCCTGCTTTGTATGACGAGTGGTGCCGGCATTCTACTTTCTGCTCCCTCATAAATCACTTTAGGTAAGTTAATTTTGATCGAATAACATCATTTCTCACTATCGGAGAGTTTTCTTCTCTATTTCACTCTCTCTATCTCTACTCAGTGTGTGTCGCTCTCTCTCTCTTTCTATATTTGTTGCTTAAACAAAAATAGAAAATTGTTAAACATTACTCATAAAGTGCAAGAAAATTGCGAAAACTTTAAATTTGTTGCTGTTGTTGTTGTTGCTATTTCATTGCTGTTGTGTTGTGTGGTTGCTGTTGTTGCTGCTATTTGATTGTCGTTTAGTTTCGGCTGTGTTGTATTGTTTTTGTTGGCATTATGGCATTAAGTTTTTTCGTATCTAAGATGAAAATGATTTTGTTTTAGGTTTCAGTAGAACTTTGGCAAGTGTGGAGATAAAATCTTTTTTCGAAACATTAAGAATTTTCTATTCGTCGCTTTAATTGGTAAAAGCAATTTAAACAATTTTCCAAATATATTTTTTATGATCATTTTTAATGCTTGGAATTTTTAAAAAATTAAAAAAGTTTAATTGACAATTTCGTTTTTTTATTGTTGTGTCGTGTATGTTTGTGTTGTGTTGTCTTGTGTTGTGATGTGTGTGTGTGTGTTGTGGGTTGTTTTATGCTAGGAAACGGAAATTCAAATTAGAAAAAAGTTTATTTGGATTATTGCGTTTAAATAAAAAATAAATTAAACAAAAAAAAAAGTCACTAATACAAAGTGTATCATAACAAAAAAAATATATGCGGGTATGTGTAAATATTTCCATTTGGATTTGTGATGTTTATTTACGAGTACATAAAAATCTTTCCTAATTTATGCATAAATTTTATGTTGCATACATAGCAATAGCACATCGCAGATATTTATACATTATTATTTATACAGCAATAACATATGTTTATAGTAATACAATATACAATCTATTGCAGAGTGTTTTTAATTGGTGTTATGTACACATATGGGAAGTATGAAATTATTTATTTATAAACAAATGATGTAATTTATGTTTGTTTCTAAAGTAAACTAAGAGACCCGCCAAAAATTCAATACGAGTTGTTTTGAAGAAATTCATAGAAGTAAAAAAATTCAAGCTTCATCACAAATTACTTTGTTTATGTGTCTATATTTTAATATGAGAAAGAATTTAAAAATTAAAAACAAATTTTAATAATTTTATTTTGGCGAATTTAATTCCTATTTCTCAAAAATGCAAGAGTCACTTTCTTAAAAATTTTTATTTTTCAATTTTGTGTTGTTTTTTTTTTGTTTTTGTTTTACATCTACTATACAGTCGATGGACTTAAAACTTCGGTACGTGAATTCAAAATTTGACAGGATTTTTTAAAAAAAGTGTATGTAGTGCGGCCATCTATTGGCAATTACACGAGATTCTTGAAAGATGTACTATTAAAATTAGATAATATTTGGTAGAATAGAAGCCGAGAGAAATAAAAGCAAAAAAACTTATTAGGTATGTGAAGCATAACGAAACAAAATCAACCCACATGGACATCATATACAATATCCAATATCTTCAATTGTACAATATATATATTAATATATTAATATATATGATATTAATGACCTCGTGCAAATGACTACTGCAGATTTATCATATATAGTGGTATGGGCTAAGCAAAATAATATGTTCCTTAATATAAACAAGTCTTCAATTCTACCAATTGCTAGGCTAAATATTAATGTTGATTTCTTGCCATCTGTAACACTTGGCAACTCAATTATTAAATATACTAATTCGGCAAAATGTCTGGGTTTTCATTTGAACACTAATCTGCATGCTGGCGAACATGTTAACCAAGTTATTGGAAAATCTTTTGTATGTTTAAGAGGTCTGAACCTTTCTGTGAAGTATACACCGGTTGACATGCGTGTTTTGTTGGTAAAACAACTAATTATTCCTATTGTTATGTACTCCTCTTTAGTGTACTCAAAACTTGATGTTGAATCCCTCAATAAGTTACGAAGCTTAGTAAACTGCTGCACGCGATATGCTTTTGGTCTTAGACGCTTTGATCACTTAGGTATTTATAGAAATGTGATTCTAGGGTGTGATATTGAACAATATATGCAGTTTCGAGTATGCTTATTTTTGTTCAGACTTTTATCCACTACTACGCCGAAGTATCTTTTTGATTGCTTGCAGCTAACTAGATCTAACAGATCTCGTCTTTTCATCATGCCCAGATTTAGTTTTGCCTCCACTACTAAGTTTTTCTTTATTCAGTCTGTTAGAATATGGAATGCTCTTTCAAGCACAACCAGAAATGCAGATAACCCGAGTGTTTTTAAGAAACTGTTAAAAAACGAACTGTGTTAACATCACGTTTATATGTCTTTATTTATTTTTTTTTTTTTTTAAGTTTATTGTAATTTCTTTGTTATTAACTTAAATTCTGTTATTTAAATATTTCATGCTGTTTTCTTTTTTGTTTCGCTGTTAATCAGTAACTATAATTTTAATACTTTTTACATATGTTATTACTATATTCTCTGAAAACTTTTTTTTATTTTATTTTATTGTATTTTTTATTTTTATTTTAATTCTTTAAATTAGCTTTAAGATACTGCAATAAAAAGGGTTGTCCCTTAATGCATTTAAATAAATAAATAAATAAAATAAATAAATAAATATATAAATACATAACATTTATATAAATTACATATACATATACATGTACGAATAACATCCCCAGGGAACTCCAGATTGATTCCAACAAAAAATACGTAAAGGACTGACAGACTTACCTACACCGCGTTATCGAATCTCAGAATGGTTACAAGCTCCTCTGGGAGGTATGCAGATCTGAGGTCAATTATTGCTCAGTCTGATGAAGTGATAAATAATAATCCAGTCAAGGCGTAAAGAGGGGTTTTGAAAATACCGCGAGTTAAAAAAGAGTAAAAGTGCTTAAGTGCACTGGCTCAAAACAGCTTCAACATAATTATTACATATACATATAAAAGAGTAACTTAAAGGCCTTTTAAAACATTTACATTTTTTTCTTTTATTTCTTCTATATATTTGCACTATTCTAAGATATATATGCAAAACTTAGGAATATATAAAATTTCGATATTGGTGGGAAATCCGGTAGCATTGCAACCTTTTTGATTTTATTGTTTTAAAATTTTTAAAAAAAAATTATTTTAAAATCTTCAAGTTATTGGGTTGAAATTTATTCAATCCAAACCATCTCCCTGACGGTTGAAGTAATTATCATTCACAGAAAGAGTATTTAATGGTTTATTTTTACTGCAGATTTGCACAATTTCTACAGTGAGGCATATGAGTAATGCATAGTTTCTCTGTTCGGCTTTCTATACACCAGCTTACACTGCAGTAAGCTTTGCAGTGTTCATATGACCCCTTTTGATGAGTTCTCAGAATTTAGTTTTATAGTAGGTGCGCTATATTAACAGGGGAGTTGCACATGGCTTAAGTGCATTTCGACGATTGCCTTTCTATATTATTTTACAATCTTTGTACATCATGTAAGTTGCAATTTGCCGACAGGCTTCACAAATGTCTAATATTTCAGCTTGAAAAACGGTAGCCCCATATGTAAGCCTAAGAGAATTGTTTATGTCTGCAGATATCGCGAAGATTTTGCACTCACTTCGCAATTCATTTTCGAGCCATCCGTATAGATTGAGATGTTGTAAATTGCTTGAAACTTTCTTCTTTTCCATTTATTTCTTGGAGGGAATATTGTCGAAAATTTCTTTCAAAACCTGAGCATGGATTTAGATAATCCGATAACATTCTAAACAGTCAGATGCCTGTCGCTTTCAGCCTAACAGTGTTGTTACAAACGATATTCGTAACATGAAGATTGATAGATGGCAGATGTAGAATTTTGTTAAAGGTGTTTGAAAGGGTCGTCTCAAAAGCTCTTGTAACGCTAACACATGTTGTTCTCTGCATTTTGTTCACTTTTTGAATGTTATAGCTATTACTCAGAGCTGGCCACCAAACAACAACGCTATATGTGAGAATTGGACACACAAAGGCGGTATACTTCCCTCTTGAGGGGTCCCTCTGCTGACGTGTTTGATTTGAGTTGTGCTGCTCAACTATGACTGAATAGTTTTTATTTTCAGTATAGTAACTATTCAATTTTTGAGCTTCTTCTCTAAGTCTATTCCTGCAAGTGTAGAGCTGTTTCCATAGATCTACCCTTGAGGTAGGCGTGCTGGGATTACAAAATTGGAAAATGTTACATTATTGATATTAAGGGGAGTTCTATTACCCCTTCAAGTGGTTTAAGTAAGAATGAAGTTCTTACTTTCCTGTTCAGTTGTTGCAAATTAACAGACTGATGTTGTTAATATAAATTAATAGGTACTCATTTTTGTCATAGGTTTTCTAACTGCTTAAAGCTTATGTCTTTTGATGCGTACTAGCGCAACCACTTTTTTCGGAGAAATATCTGTATCATGCGCCATGTAGCCTGAAGCCACAATTATGTTTGGTCCACCAGGTATTTCGATCCTCACACTTGTTAAATCATTGTGGACGCAGAAAAGCATTACTAAATTTTTTAACTAGGATTTATGATCTCGGCCTACCATTATTCCTAATATATAAGTTGCTGTAATTCGTCAGCATCAGTTCCATGATGTCCTTACCGCTGACCCATGGCTCTTTTACAATGCTAACGTTGACATGATTCTCGACTAGAATGACGAGAATCATGTAGGTTGACTTTTAGCATTCAAGCAGGCTTACGGTGTCTCAGAAACTTGAAGATTTCTGAAGATCCATATCATCGAGCAATTCGTTGCCCTCTTCATTGTTAAATGTTGGGTAAAAGATTTTGATTTTGGTGTACCGCATGATAAGTCAAAGTTGGCAGTCCATTTCTTCTAGTGTGCTTCACGAATTCCTCGTTTATCATCGAGGAATTCAGTAGAAACGTCACGCTATTTTCATGGGTGCCCACATTTTTGATGACTATCCATTCGTACATCGGCACAATTTGGTTTTGTCGCTGCAGAAGTAGAAACATTTGCCCCTGCACCAGTTTCATGATTAGGAGACAAATGAGAGCCCTTGGTCATCAGTTAGACAATTGGTTATCACTATTGATGAGTTAAAGGCTGATATAATTGAAGACTTAGATTTGCTAATAGGATTTTAACCATTATTTCAGCTAGCCTGGATTTAATTTCATCCCATTTCTCCAGCACATTCTTTTCATTGCCATTTATTTCGTCAAGAAGCGCTACCTGCAGCTGGTCATGCATGCCCCTTTAGTGCTTGTTGATTGTTTGTTAGTTGATGTTAAAAGTTTCACGATTTTTTTCGTGAAGTATGAGCCATCTCGTCCTGGGACCGATTTCTCTTTATCACCTTTGCAGATTTCGATAGCCTGGCGTGGTACTTCTTGTACTTATTTACTATTTCTGGTATCGTAACTTGTCTGTACGACCTATCTTGCCAAGACTAAACGTTGTTTTTTGGTACTTTTGGCGTCTGATCTTTGCTTCAGACTTTTTTGCCTTTGCATTATAGCTGACGCGCTTGTATTCCGATTTACCTGCGATAGATGAAGTAGGCACAGTATGGTTGCGACGATTTCCTGGTTCGGTTTCAGAAGCTCGTTTTCAGAATTGGTGTCTAGTTTCGTGTTGGATTTTCTTGATGTTTGTTTTTTTATATGAAAATCCGAAGCATAGATCCCTGTACATCGGAAAGACTGATTAAGTCCAGTTATCAAATTTAAGTTGTGCTTTGTAAAGATGTGCTTCTTCTACGTTAGTGGTTCTCTATCTGGCATTATGCTGAGGAATTTAGCACTGCCATCAGATAATAGATATTTTGCGATTAGCAGAGTATGGGAAAGTTGATATTTGTAAGTCAAGAACGTTACTTGTATCGATTTTTTGTATCAAGTTGCATTATCCAAGTCTGAAGTCGGTTTTATGAGTTCTAAAAACCGTTTTTGAAGTAAAATGAGTTTGTTGCTGTATATGTATAATTTACTCACTCACTTACATAAATGACCACAACAAATCGTTACTGGGTTTCGGTCTGACACAGCACTCCTCTAAAGCCGACTCTGTTGGGTACGTGGATTTGTGAATACTTAAATAAAAATATGTTATCGGCATTTTTTGTTTTCGGAATACCGTGAAACAGAGCGAAAAGTGTGCAGAAAATGGGACTCAAACCTTTACCTTAAGGTGTAGTTGCTTTTGCTTTATTTGTTTTTGTGATCTCTTTTTATTATGAGAAGTAAGAGCATAATACCTCGTGGTATGGGTTCGAAAAATTGTTCCTTAGTTTAAACAGAAAATAGTTGGTAATATTTTTTAATATATTTTTAATGTTTGTTATTTCGAAATATTGAACAAAAATAAAACCAGTCTTTAAAAATTTATATTACGAGAAGTTTTAGGATTACACAAAATATTTTTGTAACACCTCTGGAAAGCCGTGAGCTATCCCAATTATCAACGGCCGTAAATAGGTTCATTACGATCTTTGTTAAGTTGAACACTTTCTTATAACTTGAGCCTTAATAAAGTTAAAAATAGAAAAATTAAGCTGAGCAGGTGCTTTCAGAAATACATTAAAGTAGTTTTTTCATTTAGTCTGTCATTAAATGAGAAAGGTTTAAAAACGGTTGTCAAATGCTCGATAGAAATATATAGTTTCTTTTTATCTATTTTCCCTCTTACGTTTCTTATTATAGTGTATCAGTTCGTAGGTTGTTTGAAAGGTGACTTCATTTTACTAAGAAGGTTTCTGGATTTTGGTACGAGTTAAGTTCGCCCTTCCCAGCGTTCTATCCACTTTATCATTTTGCGCTGTTATTTTTGGAAATGTACTTTTTGACTGCTAAACCCACCTAAGCTGTAGAGGCTTCATATTGTACTATAATAATGAAGTACACTAGTTTTAAATGTTTTCAACGACATAATAGTATAAAAATTTTTGTACAATAATGCATTCTCATTATTTTAAAATAGTGGATATAGTATTCGGATACCATTTCTTAAAGCCGTAATATTCTATAAACTATTTCCGGCTTTGATGACCAAGAATTAATTTTTTTTATTTCAATAATAACACATGAAACATTATTTTTTGGATATCTCACAACCGTGGATTATTACACCAAACCAACAAAGCAGAAATTGAACACGTGGTTTTATTTGAGCGGATTGATACTGATGTATGTCAAGTAACCTGTGTAGGATGATCTATAAGATCAATGCGAACTTTTGGTGTTAATTTTATAGACTTCTTTCGAGAGAACAATGGCAAACGTTATTGCTATATGAATCCTTCTAACAAAGAATTTTTAAAACATCTGTCGCATTTGGCTATTCAAAAATATGATTCTTAATCAAGACAATTCAAGACCTCAAGGTCTTGATCTCAAGGTTTATAAGTTCAAAGAAATATAAGTAGAAGTCTATCTTTGTATGCTAAATAAATATTGTTTTATAGACATTTCTCTACTTCTGTCCTCTTAGATAGAGTAACAGAGACTCTCTGTTATCAGTTTATATAGACCTCTCTCCATTTATGTGCAATTGTGATCTTTTAATTCATTTTCTTATTTAGAAGTCGGTTCAATTAATCACTTAATATACATATAATATAAAACGTACCATTAATTTTTAATGTGGGTTTTATTTATTTTAGAAAGTGTGTTCAAACAGATATCTCTAAACTGCCATACCATAATGGCAAACTCTAACAATGGCGTTTCGAAGGAAATAAATTTTAGTACAGAAATTTTTAATAGAATCGCATCTGCGTACACTGACCATAATATTATTATATCTCCACTACTGTTAGAGGCAACTTTAGCTTTACTTTATCTTGGTTCTGATGGCAGCACAGCGGAGGAACTAAAGCAACTGCTGCAACTGAGCCGGTTCAGTAGTAATTCCAAAATGGCAAATTACTTTGAAGCTAGTCTGGCAGCCGCTACGCAACAGAATGATACAAAAATATTTTTAAGCATACAGATTTTACTAAATGAAAATCTTCAAGTGGCAGAAGAATTCCAGACTGTTGCCAAAAAATATTTTCAGACTGCAACGGCTACAGTTGATATGAAAAGTGAAAAAAATATACGCGGTCAGCTTAACGAATCCGTCAACAAAATTTGCAAACCATCTGGTACGAGTCTGTTGAGTGTACTCACAGCAGAGAACGCGGTGAATTCCCTGCTTTTCATAACTGCATGTTTCCAAAATAAATGGTTCCTACCTTTTAGCGCATACCGATCCGGTATTTACGATTTCTACATTAATGGTTTAGAACCAAAAGAAGTGCCTATGCTATTCGACGATGATATGTTCGTAAAGTTTGCTGAGTTCCGAGAATTAGATGCGCGTGCCATTGAGTTGCCGTTTGAACATGACGACGAGTTAGCAATGTTGCTGGTGTTGCCGAATAAACGTGATGGCTTGACAGGACTTTTGGAACAGCTGAAGACAAAGAATTTAGTAGAACTTACGGAATGCATGCAAATGGAAAGCGTGCAAATACTCTTACCGAAATTCAACATTGACTTTGAGTGCAGTTTAAGAACAATCTTGCAAAAGGTAAAACAATTTGTTGAAATAAAATAATCTGTTTCTTAACATGGTTTTCTAATTCTTTTATAACTCTACTTCGACGTCAGATGGGTCTTGGTACAATATTTTCGAATACAGCGAATTTTAAAAATTTAGTAAACGAAAATTGCACAGAACAGTTAAGCTTTACAGATCTATTCCACGAAGTATCCATTGCGGTGAATGAATCAGGATCAGACACCTCCCCTGTTGCAAGTATGTTGATTGCATACAATTCAAGCGTTGGAAACACATGCCAAAATTAAAATTCATTAAATTGGAAAGAATATTTAATTTTAGTTTTGGCATTCATTGAAATACAAATTATTTATAATTCTTTAATTTATTTCTTAATATTTAACCGAATTTTTTTTTCCAGCTAACAAACCGATTGTGATCAGTAATTCGATAGACTCGAGGCAAAAGTTTTTCCGTGCCGATCATCCGTTTTTCTTTGCTGTTACAAATCGTGACGTTACCTATTTTGCTGGTCAAGTGATCAAATTCTAATGAACTTGTGATGAAATGGCTGTTTCTATATTGAGAACTTAGCTCTTGTAAATGTATGATTAGTTGCAGTTAATTTGTTTGACTTTATATGTATTTTGTTTGTATTTAAAATATTTATAAAATTATTTAAATGTACATTAATAATCTTATATAAAACCTGTAGACTAATTAAACTAAATATTTTGCCATATTAGACTAGAAGACTAGCTGCTACTACCCTCCGAAGCCATTTAATAATCTTTCGATATGAAGTTAAAGTGTGTTGCTGTTAGTAAAAAGTCTAAAAAACTTATTATTTAAAAAGTTTGTCATTTATAATTCTTTAAATCCATTAATTAAAAACTATAAATACTGCATAAAAAGTATCGGGAATTAGAAATTTGAAAAACGTTACAAAAGATACAGCCACGATTCCTTTTTTACTACGCTGTTGCTATGCGTCATTGTTTGCACTTAAACACTGTATTGCCATCTGTTTCTCAGTATGTTTACATCAGTTGTTTTCGCAATTATACCTGTGAGTGTTCTGCAATTTTTATTTTATTCTTCCGATAAAGTTAACGGCATTCTGAAGATTCCTGACTTGTTTGCATATCACAGTCATAAGCTTGAGTCTCGTTGCTAGTTATTTTGCAATCAGAATTGCAACAAAATAATGTTCACTTACCACAACCCATTTCTTATGATCTATTAAACCCGAGTCAAGTTTATAGGTAAAATTTGTATTTCATATTAATGTTTAATTACTAAATTGCTGAAATATTTAATTAATACGTAAATTTTTAAATTTCATAGACTGACCTTTGGTAAAATGGTCAGTCTATGTACTATTAAACAGCATTCCATTTCTTGGTTCGTTAGTCATGAGCTATCAATGTAGCCAGTTAATACGAATGAAAAGTTACAAATAAATTATTAAAACTCGATAGATTCTAAATACTTTATGTTCCTTACATGGCTCTTATATGTCCTTTATATGGTTTTTGATATGTGCGATTCGGTTCATGAGATTTATTTGAAATAAAATATGTAAGGCAAATTCTTTGCTGAACTGTTTTTCTATTTAGATCCTCGAAGAATACCGAAGGAAAATGAGAAAAACTGAATATTGGATAATAGATCACACTCCAGTTCTGAATGGTAACACAAAAGAGTGGTATCAATTTATAAAAAATATGTTGCGGCCTATATACTTTATGTGCGTTTTTCAAGTACTAAAATTTTTTTATTTTTTCTTTCTTTCCCGACACTCTGTCATCACACTTTAATTTGTTGAAACCCTTAAGTCGGTACTTATTATCATACGTGAAATATTACAGCATATTAGACGACATCATAAACAGACATATCTCTACATCGTGCAATGTTTATAGTTCCCAGAATAAAATGTTTTCGCCGCGGTTGCCACTTGAAAATTTTTTTCTACCATATACTAAAATTGGTTGAAACAGGAACTATTTCTGTGTGAAAAGGTCCAATTGTCTTTTAATAAGAATACACAATATGTATAAAATGTATAGAAGATATAGAACAACACAAATAATTTTATCAATAAGAATTGTATTTTTTGAATATTCGAGTTATCTTTTACTATTCATATATAGTGTATAAAATCCATTCCCATCGGAGTTTTCTTTTTCCTTTTGCAGTCTCAATATTTTTACTAAATCAGTACATAAAATTATATTAGTTTCATAGTACATTGGTCCATCTATAAATAAATTTAATTGGATAATATAATAGTATGTACAGCAAAGTGCGTGCTGCAAAAAATAACTATTTTTTAAAAAAGAGTATCAGAGCACCATGCGGAAAAAAAGTACCAATTTTGGTACTAAAGTACCACATGTGGCAATCGTGGTTTTCACCTAAAATAGCAATGTAAGTGGTGTATTATCTCTCATAATCAAATTCAATACCTCAAACTTACCACAAGCGTAGCTAGTGTACGGTGAAGCAAAGTCGGTTATGGTTGTTGCCTTTTATACTTTAATGAAATATTTATATGCTCTCCCATTATTATGTTACGAGTATAATACGATAAAATAAAAGCCATTTAATTATTTTGATTTTTATTATTATTTTTTAATATTTATTTTTTCTTTTATAACAAAGAGTCTTGAGAAGGTTTTTATATGTATAGTAATATTAAATGAATTATTATTTTTTTATTTATTTAGTTTCATGTGAAATTTACATTTAATGCAGTTATTTGTTTAATATTTTTTATTTATATATTTATTTATTTTTTTTTTTTGTGTATTGATAATTTGAATGAATTTTAATTGAAAATAATTTTTCATAATTTTAAATATTAATTAATTACTTTTTACAATGTTTATGCTAACTACACTAAATAAATTATTGAGCTAAATTTTGGGTTGCAATTTTACTATGTGGAACATGCAACAGCATTGTTGTTTTTGTTGTTAATGCTGTTGTTGCAACTATTTCCATATATGTGTATCCACAATTGCTACAATTGCAACAATTGCCATATATTATATTTTATCATGAACTTAATCTAGAAATGGAAATAAATTTGAAATTCATTGCTGCCTCACTTTATGTTTTCATTGGTTTTTTTTATGTACACTTGAGTTCGTGCAAATAGGCGTGGTCATTGAATGTTTTATTATTGCATGATTTTTTTCATACGTGTATATATGTTATACAATATATAAATTTTTTACATAAAGCCAATAAATGTAATTCTCACACTCAATTCATTGTACAATATTTACAGCCTAAGTCCTTAAACTCGTAATTATACAATAAATACGTTTACATTACAATACATGAGCATATCATAGCATATTTACTAATATCCATCTTAATTATATTAACTTAATTAGAATTTAGAACATTGAGTAAAGTATTTCCGTTTTTAAGTTTTTAAGTTTTTAAGTTTTAAGCCTTCTGGCTTCTGGCTTATGACTTCTGATTTATTTAATAAAAGAATTTAATATTTTGATATCGCATGTATCACTCTTACTTTACTTCTTAAGGTTATCTTGAATTTCACACATATGCTCTTATGCTTTCAAGTATCTATCTATATTAATAGCATATATACATACTTATGTACAGGTATGTGGAGCTGCATGCGAAAACATACATATTAATTAAATAAGTTCAATTTTAATTTAATAAGTACAAGATTTATTTTAAGTTCAAATTTAGAAATGTTCTATTTGTTTTTTGATTGACTTTTGATATACTAGTAGTTATGTAAACATAATGTTCTATTCATCTCAAATCGAAATATGTACTCTGTGCTATAAATCATATATTGTACATTAGCAACAAATTCAGACCTAAATTGAGTAATTTACATTTATACAAATATTTTTGTTTACACAATAGTGCAGCTTTTCAATTTTTACTTGCTAGGAAAATTCTTTGTATTCAAAGTTTTGATTGAAAACACACAATTATTCACCGAAAGATATTTACACTTACATGGCAAAATATTATATCATAAGTACATAAATCTACGTATATATATCTCTATGTGAATATTTAATAAACTTCTTTGAGTTTTCTTATTTATTAAATCTGTTATTCTTTGTAATTCAATACTCAGTTCACTTAATTACTAAAATCTACTAAAATTTTGAACGTGAAGTCCATTTAGATTTAAAGGAATTCTCTATGTGCATATGAGTTCAAGGGTGATAAGAGTCACCCTTGTAGGGCCGTAAAGTCGATTCAACACTCATATGTGCTGAGTATGTGTCTTGACTAGTGAACACAACTACTTACTTCTAGTAGCGCAAAAATGATGCGTTTATTACTTCAACTATTGTATTTACTCAGTACATAAGGCGACCAATTAAAATTTAATTTAAGTGCAAAAAATAGTCTAAACGGGAGATTTTAGCACAATGGGCCTATGGGCCTAAGTGGGTATAACCTAAATGAGAGATTTCATTTAGTGAATGTTCAAATTACTCTTAGTAGCATAAGAATATATTCCTTTAACTCTTTAATATGCTTAGTATGTGATTTAACTTAATAAAAAGCGATTATTTACTCTTAGAAGCAAAAGAAATATCTCATTAGTTCTTTTATATGCTAAGTATGAGAGTTCAATAAAGAAGGCAACTAGTTACTCTTAATAATGTAAGAGAATATTCAATTAAATAGATGAGTATTTACTTTAAATAATGCAAGATAATATCTTTTCAGCTATTGATTTTTCATAAATATGTAAGAGGCTTTGCTGCCCAAAGGCGTCTCCAATAGCCTCTCAGAGACATATGTCAATCTCTACCTTCATGTAATGCCCCCTGTGACAACCAAAGAGGCTCTGGCGAACGAGTCTACAGCGGAATAACTATGACAACATCTGCTATTCGGTGAAAATAGTAATAGCTTGTGATGCACGTTTTTAGATGCAGGTTCGGAGGCATCCAATGAGCAATTAACTAAGCAGAATACAAATCTAGGCAGCAGCCCTGCTACCGAACTTGGCGACTTGGGCCGATTACTCGCGTCAGTTGAAACCTTCATCCGTCCGAGTTTGCACAAGAAATGAAAATTTATATGGTTAGGCCATACACTGCGGAAAAACAGAGATGATGTAATACATGTCGTACTATGCTGGAACCCTTAAGGCAGAAGGTCGCAAGGTAGACCACGCAATACTTGGCACAGAAGCAAGTATTTGCAACTTCCGTAAATGCTAGGCATGAGCTTCTGTTTAAGAAATGCAACTAGTGAGTCTAAGTGAAAGAAATAGAAATTTTGCTTAAGCTTTTGCATATGCTAAGTGTGAGAGTTCGCTCAATAAAAGCGACTAGTAATTTTTAGAATTTTTGTGAAGGTGACTGGTTAGTCTTAGTAATGTTAGAGAGTAACTTTTCAGGTGTTTTTCTGTGTAAAGTTTGAGAGTTCACTAAAGAAAATCAAGTATGTAATTATTTTTAGTAGGTAACGAAGTTTCTGTTATCAACACATAAAATGTAAGAGTTAAGAAAATTACTATTTTTTTCTATCCTATTCTAATTTATTCTGATAATCTATTCTGATCTATGCTAATAGTTAACAATAGCAATGCAAAAGAATTTCCTTTCAATTTTGTGTATGCTGACTTTGCTTAAGGAGAAGTAGTTATTCCTAGTTATTAGCTAACTAGGTATTCCTTCTAGGTAACTAGTTACTTTTTTTAATGTAAGAGAATATTCTCACTGATATATGATAGTAGAGGGAGAAGATATTTCTTTAACTTTGAAATGCGTTTTGCTGTCAATTATAGACATATAACTAATTTATGACAAACGGATGCGTCGCAACTTATGGTAGTTCCCACGATTATCCCAATGAAGAGAAGCTATAACTTGTTGTATTGTAGTGCGCACATACTCAGCATTTACGCCTCGCGCAAGACGATTCGACTTTGTAGGCGAAAAGGAACCAGTATATAATTTTGACACTTACGATGAAGAGCTCAGATTTATGTTGCAGAATGCAACTGATTGTTGGTCGAGAAACCAAAGTATCATCAAAACAATTTTATGATAGAAAAGAAAATAATCTTAACCTAGCAATAGGAAATCAAGTTTTATTAAGAAATGAAATTGGACATAAGTTAGAAAATAAATATATAGGCCCCTATGAGGTTGTAAGTATGCCACAGCATGTACACACTGCAGTATCATTTCTTGATGTAGAAAACAGAGGACCTTGATATTAGATGATTTATAAATTCTATGTAAATTATTTATTGTATTTTTTTTTTTTAAAAGTAATAAAATGCTTGAAGAATTTCAAAAAACCAATCACAACAAAATCAAAAGCTTTTTGAGTTATTCTATGGAGGTTAGTAAAAATTAAATTGATCTTGTAAACTGTAGATTTCTTTAAATTTTCCGCAAAAATTAAAAAGGTTACGGACTCTCACACTGTATTGATGAGATATTGTTTAACTGGTACATGTCGATTACAATTATTAATTTATCGCTCAATCTTCTCAAATGTATTAGTAATGCTTCATAGCCTCTGATACGATTAAATGATGGACGATACTGTAATATTGAGGATTGTATTAAACTCCGAATCAAGAAAGATCGCTTTTTATGGAAAAAAATTTACAAAAATAAAAGTATCAGTATTCAGACGAGCTCAGTAACTCTGTAAAGTCATAAAATTGTGACATACTTGTTTTTGTGAAATTTTTTATTACTGAGTTATAGATGTATTAGGCGATATAATTTTTTCAATATTCAGCTTATTTCTATTTTACGAAAATAAGAGGGAAGTATTTTCTTTTTATATTTAAATGTTAAATAACAACTCTTTTAAGAAAAAATTAAAAATGTGCGTTGAGTTTTACCGATTTCGGAGTTACCGAGCTACATCCGAATATCCTTAGTAATTAAGTTATTTAAAATAAGAATATACAAATACATATAAAAATGTGAAATAAATATATATAAATAAAGTATACAATATTTAGAACCAAGCTAATGAGTAACTTTGCAAACTATTTTTAATGTTTAGAAAAGTATATATTTATATATATTAAATCAGCTAATTGTCCTAAAATATATTACACTATATAGTACATCAAGTCAATTAATCACAAACGTAGCTGCCCTGTTTTGGATTTTTCTCATTTTATTTAAAATTTCTATCAATTGCTTAAGATGAGGTACTAGGAGACACATAGTAGACTGATATTATCTTAATTCATATGTTGGTACTGAAGTTACGACGATGTTCTAAAAGGGTTACTAAAAGGGACTTATAACACATACTCTTTCTTATTAAGGTTGAGATGTTGTTTTTTCTCTTAACTGAAATTGTTTATTGCATATCATAATAGTTTAATTTTATTAACTTACGAAATATTTTAATTGTGTCCTAAAGCCATAATAATATTTACACAGAGTTACATGTACATATTTAGATACGTAGCCCTTCCTTTAATTTTACTCGTACATACTCGTATCTGACAACCATTCAAGTTCATATTCTAATATAACAGTACATACTTAAGGCTAATACTTAGTTTTTATGTTACACTAGTAGAATTCATAAAGAAAGAAAGGCTTATCGACAATTTCCCTTACTTATCTATAATTACAATCTTTTTAATTTAAATACACGCGGTTATGGTGCAGATTATATTTGCAATTGCTAGCTAATTACAGTTCTTGTTCGCATTCTTCAATAATAATATCAGAGACACGGTTAGTTACTGGCGATGCAGCCATACTTACGGAATCAGTGGGTATAGAACCACTGGGTGGTAGCGGGGGTGGTGGTATTTCATTTGTACGGTTGAGTAAATAGTCCAGATCGTGTGTTATTCGATCAAACATACCGTTGATGGAGTTATCATCGTCTGGAGTTGTACTACAAGAAGTCGTTGTGAGATCTGAAGTGGCTTCAGTAGTAGTTGCTGATGTTGTTACGGCTAGTGGATCGCATGAACTTGCATTTGTGTCATCGATTGATGAGCAAGTAATAGTGATGATTGGAGTGGGTGTTGTTGTAGCCACAGTTGATAATAAATGTGATGTAGTTGCTCCTGAAACGGCTACCATTGTTGGCAGCATTGGATCAAAAGTGTGTGTAGTTGGTTCCATAATTGTAACGCGCTTTTGTGATTTCGGAGTTTGTGTTGTTACTGATGTGGTTGTAATTGTTGTTACTGTGGGATTGTTGCTGCAACTATTCGCGCCAATGCTACTACTGTAGGTTGTAGGGGGAGCAGTTAAGTTGCTGATAGATACCATTGCTGGCGGCAACATGTGCGAATCAACATATGAATTGTGATGCTGCGTCTGTAAGTGTTGAGTGTGATATTGTGTTGCAGGAAGTATATTGCTAGTGCGTATACCAATGATGCTATCTGTTGGAAAAAGAAAACAAAAGGCATAAACATTGAATCTTGAATCGCCTATACAAATATCATTTATATTGTTTTCCTTACAATTACAGTCGTCTAACTAAAATAAAAACGCCATAGAAATATCAATAACTAATGCTTAACCCAGTGGTACCGGTAAATATTTAAAGCTCAAAATTTTACAAATGTTTGACTATGGAAGTGACAGCGTATTTATTTTTATGTTCTCATAAAGTTGACTCCAGGTTTCGTTGTCAGGAAAATCCACTGAAGCAACTGCATCGGCAGCAAAGACACACGGCAATGGTTAAGCATAAAACGTATAACCAGTAAAAAATCAAAGAAAGCCACTGAGACGAATATGGAATAACAGCACGCGAGAGGACACCAGCAGCAAATGCAGCAACGAAAGCATTTTAGTACATAACCACTAGAACTACTTTAATAAGTTTATATTTGTCCACAACTACATGAACATTAACCGCAGCACAGCTACCGCCAGATAACGGAACAAAGTGCTTATTACACTTGGGTTCTGGTAATACCGAAGGAAGCAAAACGTTGTACACTGTTGTGTAGATACTTACAAGAGACATTAAAGACTTAGTCGAAGCTGCATAGTCTGCATAGTAAAAAAATTAAAAGCAAATGATTTCTTTTTATTTTTGGCTTAAGCGACTTCACTGCCAACCAGGATATTACTAAGGTGCTTTTGAACTTCCTGAGATGTGTCAACGGAAAATGTTGACGATTTTACTCAAGTGTTTTTTAAGCCAGCAACCATTACTGGACAAGTCATTTAATATTTAAGAAGAAGATTTATACTGTTCCTTAAATGAAATCAAGGATTTTACATAAGAAAAGATGAACTTCGTCACGATAAGTTTTTGACAAATCCTTTCGGAAGTTCAATTTTAAGCTAAATTTCTATAGAAAAATTTTTTTTTGATATGTTATTTACAATCAAATCATCTGTTGTTTCATAATTTGATAATAATATAAAATAAATAAATATTCTTAAATAAGTTAAGGGCTACTTTAGAAAACGGAAAAAGCTGATGAAAAAAAATTCCTAGAAGGTTTTGGTAACAACTTTAAATCTATTTTATTCTTCTACAACACTATACTCGTATGACAAAATGGCGGATTATAAAACTATTTTAAAAAACATTAAAAATAAAAACAAACGATTTTGAGAAAAGTTTAAAATAAATTGTAAATATAGCTGCTATCTAAATTCAGGATTAAGGATAGTTTAGATAATGTCATTTAAAATAGGTATGTACTTGTAGTGAGGCCATCTATTGACAATTTTAAGACTTCCACATTCACTAGATTTGTGCTACATGCGATTTTTACTTTTTCGTAAAAATGCAATCGGAGATGGGGGAAAGCATTATACTCATATAGAAGCCATCTAAACTGTTTGTATCGACTACGTCGGCACTAAATTTTTATTTGTTGAAATGTTATTAGGTTTTGATAGTGAGTCGGGAAGAACAAAACCGGTAATTGTATTTAGAAGTCTCACTACAAATACCTCTTTCTAAAAAGTCTTTTTCACTTGGTTGTTTTATAAATAAGTAAATAAATGAAATGAAGATGTATATACCTGGTGATACACCCTGTAGAATATCAAGCGTTTCAACACCAATGAAATCATGCGTAGCATGTTGTTGTGGTATATGTGTACGTCGTCCAAGACTTCCAGTCATGCCAACAGCAAGGCTACCATATGCATCATAGAAACTTACAGGGCCACCACTAGCCACTATTGCTGGTAGAGTCTGCATTGCGGTATTAGCATTGCCGCCTAATATATTACAGCATCTTGACGCCGTTGAAGCAATTGTTGAAGCTGTCTTGACTTGTTGCTGTTGCAAGTCTTGCAAGCACGTAACATGTGTCGAAGGTTTGCGTTCTAGCGTACTTGCACCAAGAAATGTGTCCACACTGTTGGAGTGATCATGTATGCCTGCCATAGTTGGTATTAGTTGACAGCGGGGAGCTGTGGATATTATTGTTAGCGGCAATTGCACACCAGATGTCATGTCCATCTGTTGGGGTTGTAATAGAGTCGTTAACGATGGTGGCGGTGGTGCACTACCTTCATTTTCTTTCTCCTTTTCATGGGCGGTATAAACTAAATGTTGGTAAGTTGAAAAGTATGGTATAGAGTAAATTCATATTATAGAATATTGTAATAGATTACTTTTTGATATTATTTAATTGGAAATTATTCACTTACAGTTTAATGGGTTACTAATAGCCGCTGTGCAGTAGGTCTCATCCAAACTAGTTTTGCTGGAGCTCAATTTCTTTTTTAGTGTATCACTGGAACTGAGTGTTGTTCTGCTTGAAGTCGATGTCCGCAGATTACATTCCGCTTTTAGTACAAAATTTAGTAGTATGGTGAACCCCTGAAAAAAAGGTTTGTCTTGTACAAATACTGTATATAGGAATTTAAATATTCAATTATATTTTATTTATAATTAAAATTTTCTTAAGATTATGACAGAGGAAAATACATATTCCATATACTTCTGTCATACTACATATTTTTATATGGTTTATTCATATCTTAATTATTATTAATTAGTAAATGAATGTAATGAAACCATTATAACTACTTTATACCAAAAATTTTATTGCAATAAGTGGTTCATAATGTAAGCAGATACGTATGTACTGTATTAACAATAAACACGTTCACATATATGTTAATAGCAGACATGTATCTGCAAGTCAGTTACATATACACCAGCTTAATTATAGCAACAGCATTTACAACGTACATGTATCCTTTTTCGGGAATCATGGAAACCTATTCATTATTTATAAATGTTTCGCTTGCTTTTTGGCATTGTGAACTACATTGTGGGCGTGCAAGCAGGGTTTGTGGTCTGATAATAGAATTCTCATAAATTCGAAATTATCATTATTTGGAGTTTGGTTAATGGCTTTTGAAACAAATGTAAACTATACTATAAAATACTAATTTTCACTAACAGCAGAATGAAATTTTTTTTCGAAAATATCTGTTGTTATTTAAATTTATATAAATTTTCGAATAAAAAAGCCATCCAAGTGTATGCTCTTATTATCTCCAAGAATTTATTAACTCTTAGGTCTTTTTGTCTATCATATTTATAATTACATACAAATATTTAATTTGTACTAAAATTAAATTTATTTAACTTATGCCAACTTAAAGTTGGATTTTGATTTTAAGTTTTTAATGACTAATATTAATACTAATGAAGTTGCTGTAATTAGTTAATTAAATGATTAATTAGTCAGTTGCTTCTTTAAATGCTATTAAAATAGTTAAAAAAAATAATACCACATCGCCCGTTGAGCTCATTTTAAGAAATGTATAAATGTAGGAACAATTTTGGATGCCTGAATTCTCAAGCAAATGAAAATAAAAATAATGAAAAATTATAATATACATTAAGACCGAAAAGTTTTCGGAAATTCTCATTTAAAATTCGCGCGCTGTATATTTTTCGATATTTTAAGTTTATGTAGTTTGGCAGCACTGTCCTTAATTACTATGCCAAAAATGAGCGCGATCTGTCAGACAGTTCGTTTACGGCAGCTGTTGAAACCAGTTCACCTCAGTAGGGCGTTGCGAAAAAAACAATGGAAAAAAATATTGAACAAAGAGTTTGCATCAAATTTTGTGTTTCGAACGAAATTTCGTGTGCAGAATCGTTGCGAATGCTACAAAAGGCTTATGGGGAATCAGTTTTATCGAAAACTCAAGTTTATGAGTGGTACAAAGCCTTCCAGGACGGTCGTACGACCGTCGAAGACATTTCGCAACGCACTACTGAGGTGAACTGGTTTCAACAGCTGCCGTAAACGAACTGTCTGACAGATCGAGCTCATTTTTGGCATAGTAATTAAGGACAGTGCTGCCAAACTACATAAACTTAAAATATCGAAAAATATACAGCGCGCGAATTTTAAATGAGAATTTCCGAAAACTTTTCAGTCTTAATGTATAATACAACTTTATAATTATTTTCAAACTTTACAATTTAAATTAGGCGTTCTAAAAATTTCTTAATATACAGTATGTATGTTATATGAATGCTGTGTCTTCATGGAACACAATTTTTACGAGTATATATTACGAATTTAATTATAATAAGTGGTGAAGTTTTTGTCCAGATTGTTCGTTTTGTCTAGATACAGAGAATACAATAAAGATAAGTGTCGGTATTATTGGATTATTGAATGTCGAATTATTATTTAGGGAATCCTGTATTTTCTAAACCAATGTACGATGCACGAGAGTACACAATAAGTACACAGTGATATTATTAAAATGATAACATCACTTATCATCACTAACACCACTCATCTTAATGTCAGTCTAGTGCCACAAATAATATTACAATAAATATTAGTCTGCGTCTCATCCCTAACTTTAAACTTTCAGGAACAAGAATACATAACTAAATATAATATGATTTTATAACGAGAAGTTTAAGACATTTTTTTTGAATCTCGGTCACCGACTTTGGAAGATTGTTAATAGAGTAAGTTTCTAAACTTTTTCCAAAGATAGAAAATAATAAGCGGATGTTAATAACTTGAGCAAATATTATTAGCCCCTATTTGTTGGAAAATGGATTTAGTATCATATTTCCAAAATATATCTCATTGACAATTTATATACTTCACTAGGTAAAATTTTCCAAGTGTGATGAAAGGCGTGCGCAGACTAGTTAACCTTATAGACGTTAGAAATTGTCTATAGATGCTTAAATAAATATATATAAATATATATAATATACATATATATATATGTAAATACATTTTTAGAAAGCTCTATTAATTTTGTAACTGACCTCATATAATAAACTCAGGTTGGAAACTTGAGCTCGTTTTCAGAGTGATAGAATTTGTTTTTTTTAGTTTTCGGGAGTTACGTGTAAAGCTATAGAGATATATCTGAGTATAATCAATTCAATTGCTATCTCTAGAAAAAGTTTCCTAATCCAATCCTAACAAACCTAATAATATTTTTGATTCAAGATCTTAGACCTGACTCGGTTTAATGAAAGCTTTCTGGAGATATAATGTAACTTTAAAAGTTTTATTAGTTTAATGAAAGTTTACTTTTTTATTCCACCGAACCTGCAGTTGCCGATATCCTTTATTGTCGTTTTTGAAAGCTGGTAGCAAATCCAGTTAAGAAATGAGTGATTACTTTGAGTTCATATCTATGCAGTCTTAAAGTTTAACATTATTGTGATACTATGAGTATTTGATTTCAAAAATTCTCTTCAATTAAATTCGAGGTAAGATGATATAAATCTGGTTAGTAGTAAGTTACACATACATGGGCTCACTGGTCCATGGCAATATCAGAAGGAGAAAAACTTGAAATAAATGTCATGTATTTGCATATTGTTGAGCTCAGATCTATTATATTATTCCACCCTAAATGCTTATAAATATACGAGTAAAAAAGGATTTGTAATATATATTTTATATTTATATAAGACATATCTCTTACATATGTATATCTTATGTGTATATATATATGAGAGTGTCATATAATATTTTTATATTTTTATAGCAATAGGTGTACGTAAACATAATTTTTATGAAACTATATAACCAATCTTTAACCTGCCGAAATAAGTTACAAAAAGTTGTACATTTTGTATGAAAAAATGTTGTATAATCCAGAAATTAAGAGATTTACGTAAGTGGGATCTAAAGATGCGGTGCTAGCTATACAAAAAGTGAACGAAGTCATAAAATTTTCCGGTAAACATTTTTGCTGCAAATAATGACTTTTTGAAAAAAAGCGCTTTAGGAACTTTAAATTTTGTCCCACTGAAAAAGCGATTTCATGATAAACTGAGAGCTATATGGTTATTTTATTGGATTTATGAAGCAGAGGAATAGACATCGTTTGGATCCCGTAGATGTCTCTCACTTTGGAAAATAGGTACTCATATTTCTTGATGTTTATGTTTTTTGTATTGCAAGCTGTATATCAAATGTAGTAAAGTGCATTATTATTTTATATATTTATTTACTACTATATATTTACTTTCACACTGGTACAGATTGCATTATTTAAAGCTGTTTTAAGGAAAAGTTTGTAAGTGAAATTGGTTAATTTAAGAAAGAAAAAGGCAAAACACACGTGAATGATGGAATGGTTTTTGATATGAAAATATCTTTCACGATGGGAAAATGTTTTCGAAATAGTTGTACAAATGGACTAATATAAATAAAGTTATTTTATTCCAATAATTTCCATTCATTTTTAAAGTCAGTAAATCTACTTTTGTGACAACCAGAGTTTATTAGATTAAAAACTTCGAAATTAATTAACCCTTTTTCTTAAATTTTTTATATTTTTGACTACAACCACAAATCACATTGCACAAGGCTCGAGGAATATAATGCTAGATCGATTTCTTAAATTGTGATATAGAAAATAGCGAAGCAGTTTCTTTTTTATAATTTCTTAACAGACTTAGTTTCGAAGACTTATGATAAGCAGATTTTAACATAGGTTTCAGCACTTATCGTTTATCTAGTATTTAGGGGATTAATAGCTATAATTTTCTTCTGGTAAAGTAAAAAAAGTCAACTAATCTTAGAGCTAATCCCTTAGTAACTAAATAGATTGGCAAATATATTTTTGCGTTGGATGTTGTATTAGGTAGAGTACAAAGAACTTCATTAATGAACACTTTAGAACGTTTCTAACTATTTAGAGGTGTAGCATTTTTGGTAGATAACAAGTTGCGTACAATTTGCAAGTTTATTTAACACAATAGGTCTGGTAAGAGAGCTGAGCAGTCAATTACAGACGGAGAGAGATTTTTTTCTCTACTAATGGGTATTTCACAACTGTGAAAAATAGTGTGGATTATTAATACTGTGAGGACTAAAATTTAGTATTTTAAGATTTCTGGATAATTAATTTCCTGAAACATTCTTCGTAAGACAATTTGAGCTACTACCATAGAGTTATAAAAGAGATAAATAAAATATTAAAATTTAATTTCACTATTGTAAAATATCTTTTTAATTATTATAAAAAGACTATTTTTTATAACATTTGTTTCTTTTTGCAGTGGTTTATAGCTTAGAGAGTTATGACCGCACAGTTTCCTTTAAACACGATAAAGCACTGCAAGGATATTAAACGTTAAATTTGCAGTGAAATGTAGGAAGTAAAAAGAAACTGCAAATGAAACTAATGGATTAAAATAAGTCACACAATTTTTCGTCGATTTTATTTTATTTCAGTTGGTATTCGTAATTTGAACTCGTTGAAAATTCATGAGAATTTTATGTCAGTACTTGCATTTATATGTTTCGTACTATTTGCATTAAATTTATTCTCCATGTATTCATATCCTCGTATATGAAAAGG